CACAATAATTCTGTAAAGTTCCCTTCACTCATAAATATATGACTAGCAATTAATAATAAAAACCAGCAACCTTTTAAAGCTCCTTTTACTTTTTCTGTTTTGGATAGAAATTTTTGGAAAAGTTAGTGTATAGTGTATTAGGGAAGTTCAAAATCAAAAGTAAGTGTACTAGACCAATTCTTTAATGATCCAGATGCAATGAACATTCCCTTCCCACATCACGATATTTCTTCCTCTTAAAGCTGTGGCTTTGCAGACTCTTGCTGCCGCAGTTTCTCTAAACTTCTGCAAATCCAAGATATGTGGTGCCTAAATGCATACACAGACTACGGCCCTTGGAAAGACCTCACTATCATCCTACTCCTTTTACGGAGACTTTCCCCAAAGCATGAAAGCAAACATTTCCATCTGGAGCACATGAATTGACTAGGTTGAAAATTTTATTCATGGATCTAAATATAATAATTGGAAAATGGCAGTACTATCAGAAAAAAAGCCATTAGGGCTCATTTTGGTTATACAATTTGCTTATAAGGGCTGAATCATCAACAACAAAAATGTTGTGGTCTTATCTCAATGAAATAAAAGCAGAGAAATAAAAATGCATGCTCTTTTAAGTCCTTGATTACATTGAACCTTAAACATTTTCATCAAGTTTTAAAATAGATCTTGTAAATCCTATAGAGCATGCAATTATTGCTTTTAAAAGTCTAAAGCCTGAAAATTCTCATTAGCAGAATGAAGTACGCCGCTGGGCTGTGCCTCTCGCCTGGCCATGCTGTGAGGTGGCACACGCTTCAGCCGAGCAGCTGGGCGAGTCTGGCACTCCTTGCCACGGCAGGGGAAGGAACACAGCTGAGAAGCATGCAGGCAGTCAAAATTCATTTGGAAAGTGATTGTACGTGTACAACTTGCTTGGGTAACCTGGGTAAAAGTGGTGGCACGAGCCTCTGGCTGGTTAAAAAAACCCAGAGCTGCTTTCTTGATGGCTCCAGCTTGGTTTTACCCCTGTGAGAAGTAAGAATGGTAAGCAGTGAAGGTCACAGTATGATATTGCTTGGTTAATTTTGGAATTCAACTTCAAATATGGGTCTTAACAGCATCTATTCTGTACCCCTCCCTCAGGAAGTCAAACAATCCTTTCAGAACTTATCTATAGCTATGTAAAACTTCCAAGAACTCATGACAATGTGAACTTCAAAAATTTTAAATGAAACAAAATTATACATTAGAGTTTGTCACAAGATTTAATTCCAGTTTATTGTGTATTGAAAATAAACACTTTTGAAATCCATGCTTTTAACTGTCTTACATTTTTCATGCAAAATTCTCTATTTGTTATATCAGCCTGGTTGTGTTCTGGTGTTCATATATATGGAGCTATAATAAACACACAATATATTAATACATATATTATATAAAATAATAACAGCTCACGTTTTTATTTCTAACATATGTCTAGGACTGAACTTCCCAAACATAATTTGGTGTGAAAATGAATAGAAAGGAAAGAATAGCTGTAGCATGTTTGTTGGCTTGTTTTAAAATGAGGAATGTGTGATTAACTACTTTGTCACCAAAGAAAAACAATGCTTTGTGCTCTCCAAAGCCAAACTCCATGTGTCTTTGCTACTCTACCTAAAATACAAAGAATCACACACCCAAATGTTGATTTACATTGTATGTGTGCGATCATTTTTTTTTTTTTTTGAGGAACCAGGGATTGAACTCAGGCCCTTGTGCTTGCCAGGGAAGTGCTTATTCCACTGAGCTAACTCCCCGGCCCGTGTGCAATCATGTTTGAGAAAGAATAGCCCGGTTGATGACATACCTAAAATGTGACCAGCGTTCAATGTCAGCAGTTTTGGGAGATTTCAGATAAAAATGCATGTAGCTGGAATTTATCCAAATCTATTTCATAGTGTTAGGATTGCTTTTATTTATTTTTTTTAAATCTATTCTTTATCTTGTTGTGAACTTACATGTGAATTGGCCTATTGCTATCCTGAGGTTTGAAATCTGGTACTGTTTTAAGCACATCACTTTCCTAAAATCTATTGTTGATTTTGAAATGATGTGAGAAATCATTTGAAAATTTATTGTAACTTTAAAAATACAGAATTTATGCTTTGATTTGCTCAGTAATATTTCTATATGAACAATTTCAATATATTTTTATTTGGATTTTATACAATCAATATTAGTTTGGCAGAGGCTAGTTATAAAAATGCACAAAAGGTTTTTATTTTGTTAAGGCAATAAATGCTTTCTATGGCTTGATAATGGGAAACAAATTGTTTCTCATTCCAATTTCATGATATTTGAGTCATTAAAAGAAATATCTGTGAAGGACATTAAGACATTTATTTTCCACAAATCCAGTGCCACAAAACTTTTAGAATTAATGTAGCAAAGTTTGTTCACTTCATTTTTTAATCTTTTTTCACCCTATGCTATGCATACTATTTTGTCCCTAATTTTCTTTCAGCTTTTGCTTTGTAATTAATTCTTCAGCGACCTCTTCTATTTTCAAGGACTCTAATAATTATAGAAAGTGTATTCTCAAATTTATTTTAAACCTGATCTCTCACCCAGACCCTTGAGTCCAACACTGTCACTCTAATTTCAACAAATCAGCTCTGGATATCCATCAGAAATTGGTTCAAATACCCTGAAAATACCAAGATAGGCAGATGTTCAAGTTGCTTATGTAAACTGGCCTAGAGTTTAAATATTATCTATATGCACTTTCCCTTATACTTTAAATAATCCCTAAAATAATTCCTAGGCTGTTTATAATACCAAATACATTGTAGATACTCTATAAGTACCTTTTATACTTTTTAAAGGAAAGCCTTTAGGCATTCATATGTAAGGTTTTAAAATAATTTGATTTGTGGTTGTTTGAATCCCTGGATATGGATTCTATGGATAAGGACCTTTATTGTAACCAAAATCTTTCCATAACCTTTCCGTAATCTGTTTTAAAAGTTCATTTTGAGCAACGACACTATCATTTTTCCAATTTCCTAGATTCTTCAAGTTGATCAAACTGTATTAATCTTACTTATTCCAATAGCACTGAAATTCATCTACTCATTGCTATCAAGCAATATTCCAAAATAGTCTCCCTGGTCTCTCACTCTAAACTGTTTTTCTCTTTGATGCCAAATAAATTTTCCTAAGGCATCACTTTCTTAGTATCTTACTACCTCAGAAGGAACCATGTTATTGCTTCCAAACTGCGTATACAATCCAAACTCTGACTTACCTCAAAACCTCATAATCTAGAATTATAAACACAAACATGTTTTCCACTATCTACTCAACCAGTGCTTTATGCTGCTGGCTGTACACCTTGCCTTAATTTTAAGAACTCACTCTCAACTCTGGCTCACCTTTTGCAGGTGTTCGCCTTTTTGATTTCTGATCATATGTTGATGACTGAGCATTTGTAGCCTATTTCAATTTTGTGTTTTCCATTAAGCTACTGCTCTTGTTATTCTGCAAACCTGCAACTTTGTGTGCAGTTCTATGGGATTGTACTTTTAAATAGGATTTATGATTCATGAATTAGTGTTAGTTCATTCAAAGATGTTGAGGTTCTCCTGAAGGAAACATATGTTATAGGGTTACTGTTGAACTCTTCCTTACTCCCAGTATTCAGAAGAATGGCAATTTGACAAGAAGTGGTCAATGAGTGCTTGTTATTAATTGGTATTTCTTCTTAAAGAAATCTATCAAGTGATGGAAAACAAAGGTAGACTTGAATTCTCAGATTAACAAAATGTGCAGTGTTAACAAAAAAATGAATTCAGTAACCAAGTGTTGAGTGGAATTCATAGGAAGAATATTCACCATCTAATTTTGTATGTTCCTTTTTGCTTTTTTCAAAATGTTTTAAAATTTACTGTTTTGTCTCAACAGCTCTGAGAACATATGTTCGGGGCAAAATCAGGAAGCTATGATTGCAACATTGTCAGCTACTTATGATGAGGATTTCAGATCAAATTATGTTGATATACTTATTTTAAAGAAGAAAGTTTCAAAATATGCTTACAAAGGCAGACATTACTAGTCAGATTCCCGTGGTGTCAATATCATACCCTCAAGATATAATATATATCTTTCATAACTCCATCTGGGCTAGATTTACTTCCAACTGGTATTCTAGGGGACTATAAATAAATAATAGTAAAATATTTTATTCCTGTCCCCTCACAGAATTGAAGAATTGCTATCATAAGACTCTATGTGTTCTAATCATACAGTGTAATCAATCTTCCTTATTTCTTTCTGACAGCTAGTAATATGACAGTAAATTTACAATTTAACTTTAGTTATTAAATCAAACATGCCTAAGTGGCTTTTACTATTTTTAAATTAACCTGAAAAATATGGACAGCCCATCCTTGATTGAGCAAAATAAATTCAGGACTACTTGCAATTTCTTAGCAAGTGGAATATAATACGTTCATAAATAAAATACTCTATTGTAGAAAATTAAACTCTTGAAAACCTTGCACAACTTTTGCATTATAAAAATCAAAGAAAAACCTAACATGGAATATAAAGAGATGATATCAGCACAATTATCAATGAAATGTAATTCATTTAAAAAACACTAGCGCACAGTTGAATGTACTAAATAGCATTTGACAGCCACATTTTAAACTTCATTTTCAAGCTACAAAGAAAATACATGTACTAATTGTTCAGAATAGTGATTTCCTATAGAAAGTTGAGCTTTCTATAGATTTCCCAATTTCTCATGATTTTACAGTATTATAGCTTTCCGTATTATTCTTTTAAGTATTGTTGTGCATGATCTTGGAGATTCAACCTAGGGCCTCCCACATGCTAAACACAGACCTGTCAGTAAGTTCTACCACCAGTCACAATATTGCTGTCTAATAATGCACATTTACATAAAACAATACTGAAAAATCTTAGTGCTTTGTTGTACTACAAATGGGAATCAAAATTAAAAGCATGATTACCTCTTTGCTTTCTTCTAATTCTGACTCACTGCTGAACTCTTCTGTGTTTAAGTTTTCAAAGTCAGACTCTCCAACGGCAATTGGCACTGTTACAGTTAGACTGGGGTTGTTGATGAACGACATATAGTCATTTTCATCGATGACGTATTTTTCAACACTGCTTCCAGTGCCCACACCACTGGTGGTTCCATTCCCATCTTTCAGGTAATTAAGCTCTTTGCTTATTTCAATTGCAGTGTTATTGGACATGCAGCTGTCTATTTTGTTGCCTTCGTGGATTTCTATAACTTTTGGCTTTCTGAAAAAGGCTTTTCGAAAACACTCCCGTATCTTACTCTTTACAAAATCGATTCCCTTTTGCATCCTTCCTATAGCAATCTGGAGATTGTTCATTTCATTATCATCATCAGTAGCAGCGAGGTTGTCTGAGCTAAATGAGCTCAACAATAAGGCCAGAAAGAGGTTCAGAACCTAAAAGAAAAGGAAAAAGTTCTATTTATATTGAAGTATGCATAAAACTAAGAGGCTAAACAGAAACTTCTGAGATCTTTGTTAAAATTGTTTTTAACAAATACTTCTTGGATTCTTATTATATATATATATATATATATATATATATATATATATGTCAAAATTACATACTATTTGATGTCTTCTACCTGTTTTAAAGATACAATGAGAAATTGAGCATCTCTTCTGTACCAGTGAGCAGAATAAAAAAAATAGATCTAAAGCTTCACTTGTGTCCACTCAGGCTTGCCAATGAAAAGATAAAAATATCACTTTCGAAGTTTTTGCTTTAAAAATATATTTTCAACTTAATCAGTTTACTTTATCTTACCAATTTCTTTAGACATTGTCTGTCTTCTTGTGTGTAAGTTATGAAAAAATCTTAATTACTTAATAGTCTACTGATATGTGTCAAAGCAATATACTTGAAATTTAATTTCTTTGTGTCCACTGATCAGAAATGTTTATAATAGCAGAAAATTCCAAATGCAAATTATATAAGGCTTAACACATTTCTCATCAAACATACTTTGAAATTTATGTGCTCAGATAGCTCAACAGATGGATTCAACTCTACAGTTATTCAAACCTTTAGGCTAGACACATATAAGTTAGTCTTTTCCTTCTTTTTTGTGAAGAAAATATGGGGAAACATTAATTCTCAGAGTGTCATTGAGAATTACAGAAAAAAAATACCCAATTAAGTGACTAACTGAGGCTACTGCAGAAATAATTGAAATTTCCTGGTGTGAAAGTTCGTTTATTTATGGGAATATTCTAAACTTGCAACATAGTTATGACTATCTCATACAGTAGTGAGATAAATGTGAGGCAAGAAACCCAACTCATTTCCATATCAGGTCTATAGAATCTAGAACTTTTTTAATTTAGAACCAAGAGGTTTCTAACTTCCTTTTCTCAGAAACATTTACATGTTGTTAGATAAACTACCAGTATTTGTTTTAGAAATCTTGTTTGATTGTACTGTTTGAAGGGTATGATTATGTGAAGAAATTCTGTGTCTACGCATCACCTCAGAAGGTTAAGCATTAAAGCTCATATGCATAGAACATGAATACTTAAAAGTCAAGGCTACAAGGAAGCCTTTTAAAGCTGCTCAGTGTTCACACACATGAATAAACAAACTATAGTAATTTATTTTCCTTTGATGAAATAAATGCAGAGAAGAACATATTTATTAACATTTTAAGTTATATGGATAATTATAATCCACAGTTGAAATGCATACTCTGTTTCACAGATGTTTGTCTTGAAAGTTTGATAGTATCCAACCTATGCCTCTGAGTAAACAAAAATGTGAACTATGATCATGTAAAAAACAATTTCAATATAGAACCAGTAGGTCTAGTTTTAGAGTCAGTGGAGTTGACCCTATCAAACAAATATTAGGATAGTACGTCTTCATGATAAAAAAAAAATTAGCTCTTGGAAGAAGAAAAGGCATATTTCTGATTCTTAAAATTTGTTAGGTCAACTTCATTTAGTCATCATTGCAACCTATGATTTCGTGTTGTTATGTTAGTACCCTAGATAGGGAGTCTCAGCTTCAGAGAATTTCAGTAACTTGTCTATGTGCAGAATGGGATTTGATTCAAAATCTTTTATTACAAAATTAGAGGAATGTTTACCTCGCAGGCTGTTTTATTACCACTATCTGGTCTCATTCTCATTTGTAACACATACGTACCACTAGGTTTCCAATCACCATGACCAACATGAAAACGATAAGGCACATGGCTTGGCCAGCGACCTCCATGCAGTCCCACATGGTCTCTATCCACTCCCCACACAGCACGCGGAACACGATCAGGAAGGAGTGGAAGAAGTCGTGCATGTGCCAGCGCGGGAGCTCACAGTCGTTGGAAATCTTGCAGACACATTCCTTGTAGCTCTTCCCAAAGAGCTGCATGCCGACCACAGCAAAGATGAACACGATGATGGCCAGCACCAGGGTGAGGTTACCCAGAGCCCCCACGGAGTTGCCAATGATCTTTATCAGCATGTTCAGCGTGGGCCAGGATTTTGCCAACTTGAAGACTCGGAGCTGTAATCGAACAAAATACACTCTTAGTGGTAATCATAATATAATCTTGCAATTTAGACCTCATTTATTAATACAACATGTAGAACCACACCTGAGGGCTACACAAACTTAAACCATACTAAACTAATTCAACTTCACATGCAAGAAAAATAGTGTTAATAACATTAATATTATAAATCAAATGATATCATTTAAATATACAAGCATTTGCTTTCTGATTCATCCAAAGGTCCACCCATAAAAACACATTGCTACTTTGAATATAAATTTTTAACTTTATCAAAAAATACCTCTTCAAACTCTATTTTGTTTTTATTTTTTTATTTTTAATTTTGGTAGAGACTGGGGATTAAATTTAGGACCTAATTCATGTTAGGCACATGCTCTAACACTGAGATACATCCCTTGCCCTCACACTCTATTTTATTTTATTTTTTGTCTTTTTGAGATAGGGTCTCACTATGCAATTTAGGCTGGTCTTCAGCTCATTTTGTAGCCCAGGCTGGTCTTGAGCTTGCCATAATTCTCCTGCCTTAGGCTCCCAAGTATAGGGATTAAAGGTGTGTGCCACTATGCCCTGCTCGATTTGATTTTATTCAAAAATTTTTATTAATGCATGTTGGCTCTACAGATTAAAGGGTTTCAATTTGGCATATTTATACATGTACATAACATACTTTAGCCACATTTCCCTCGATATTCCTTCTTTTTTATCTTCCCTCTTACTTTAAAAACTAAAATGAAATATCTAAAGTATGAATTGCATATTCTTCATTGACTATTATAGAATAAAAGTGAAATAACTGATTTGATAAAAATATATAAAAGCATTCCTTTCTTTTTTAACTTTTAATATCTTTGGTACTGGAAGTCAAATTTAGGCCTTCGTACTTGCCAGACAATAATTTATGCCACTGAATTATATTCACAGCCCTTTCTTTTCTATTTGAAAAAAATATGTATTTACTTAATTTCCAAGAAATTATGTATTTTTAATACATTTTTTGCTGTAATTTAAGAAGCCTTTGTTATATTATTGTTTAAAATGGTAAAGGCATCAAATATTTCACTATACGTTTCGTCATAGTACTTCCCACTAATAACATAGGGTAGATTAAAATTTAAGATTAATTGGGACCTAAAACTTTTATTTAAATTTGTTTACAAACCATAAAGCCAAAAACTCATAAATTTGAAATGAATTAAAAAGTACAAGCATATTTCAGTGTACCCTCAACAGCAGAATATATTTCAATCATTTTTCTTTTTTTCTTAGAAAATAGTTAAAACTTAGCTTTAGAGGCAATGTCCACATTGTTGTTAGAAATCACATATTGATGTAAATTGAAAATAAGGACAGAACTATATTAACTATAAATAAACATTTGGAATACTATGCTAGTGAAAGATCAGGTATAAACACAGTATAGGAAAATACCAATCTGAAGGATCGGAGTACAGACAATCCCTCCACATTTGCCAGGCCAAGTTCCATTAAGCTCAGGCTGACAATAATTCCATCAAAGATATTCCAGCCCTCTTGGAAATAGTAATAGGGGTCCATAGCAATAATCTTGAGAACCATTTCTGCTGTAAAAATCCCAGTGAAGACCTAAAATAAAATAGAATTAACTCTTAAATAGCACTTGAGAAGATTTGATTTTGCAATAATTTATAAAGAACTTTAAACAGTAATGATAAAAAACCCTTAAAATTAACAAAACCAGTTCAAATTTAGCATCTGTTCAATGGTTGCACTGTATTGTGTGAATTTGTGTAATTTAAAACATAAACTAAAGGCCAGCTAAATAGCTCAGTGGATTAAAGTGCCTGCAAGCAGGCTCAGGGGCCTGACATTCAATTCCTGGGCCTGCATTTTCTGCTCCACTCCCAGGGCAGGCTGAGCTAACAATTGAGACTGGGTGTGGTGGTCCCAGATCTTGGGAGGCTATAAACAGGCAGATCACTATGAGTTTGATCTAGTAGTGAGACTCTGAACACCATGTAGACCCTTCCCTAAAATACATAAATAAATAAATAAAACATAAACTAAATTCCCAGGGGGAAAACATAGATTTTTTTTTTTTTTGGTTTCCTACTGGGCCCAATACTCAATTTATTTTAATTTACATTAATTTCACAGATTTTAAATTATCTCACCTTTCATATTTTAATAATTTTAAAAAATATTTATTTATTTAGTTGTTACATGGTCTTGCTACACAGCTCAGGCTCAGCTCAGTGATCCTACTGTTTTCAGCCTCCCCAGCTCCTCAGTGCTGGGATTTTATGCTTGCGCCACCATGTTTGGTTTCGGTGGCCAGCATAGCTTGTCTGGGATTCTGGAGCTGACGAAGCATGCCGTACTGGGGATTGAGCCTGGATCCTTGTGCTTGCCAGGCAGGTGCTTAGACTGCCAAGCTATCTTCCAGGCCATCATTCGTATTGTAAATCTGATGGTGATTAATAGCCATTGAATTACTGCATTTTTAGTACATTATCTGTCTGCAGTCATATTTATCTTTTAGGCAATAGTGCATCAAGAATGAATTCATATATTATTGGAAATTAATACAATTACTTAAATTTTGGCACAAAATATTTTCCTGTAGTTTTGTGTTTTTCTTTAAGGAACACAATGAATTTCTATGATTTCATAAAATAGTGTGTTTGCCATAAATATTTTGTAATAATTATCACTGGGCACCTGCCTCAGAATTATGGTTAATGTTTAATTAAGGTTATTGTTTAAAAGAGAAAAAAACCATTGGTTTAATTGAAATCAGCAGGAAAGAATTCCCAGTATTCATATACCCATAAGTAACAGTAACAAATTATTTGAGAGGCTACATAAAAGGTATTTGACAGTAGAAAGAAAAACAATAAAACAAAGTCAACACTTGCTTTTCAACTTAAAACTATAGATGAAGAGACACAAGGTTATAATGAGTTATGAAATTACTCTTGTAAAAAGAAATTATCTTTATTCTCTATAGATAAAGGCTGTATTTTATTATAAGGTCATGCTTCATCTTTATCAAAGTAAACCAGTCATAGAAGGAATTCTGTCACAATAACAGCACTAAAATTATTTGCTACCCTCAAACATCCTATTAATTTAAAACATTCTTTACTCACCATTTTAATAAATTTAGCTAGCCTTTCATTTTCTCAATAAAAGAAAAGTCTCAAGAAATATGCATCCGGGAAAGCACTCACTATTCAAAATGAAATATAATGCATTCTAAGCAAACCTGGCACGTGAAAATCTGGGGCTGTGGTGGGGAGAACATTGAAACTTTTATTTTATTTTATTTGTAGAGTAGTTCACCATGAATTTTTTTTTCAAGTAGTGAGTTTTCCTAGTGTACTTAAATAAGTCATTTTTTCTTTCTTTTCATACCAGGCATCCAGCTCAGGACCTTGTGTTTGCCAGGCTGGCACTTATGCTACTGAGCTATCTCTCTAGCCCTAAAGTAAGTTCGGACTTATACAAGTTTTATTTTTTATATAAAACTCTTAGAAGCATGTATTATTTAAAATGGAAAATTTGATGAGAAAAATCATGAAAGGTAGCTAGAAATTCTCTAGATAAATGATTGTCAGTTATCTGTTCCTTCAGAAACTCATAAGATGATTATGTCTAGGTCTTCTGAAATGATTAGATGTGTTATGTTTTTTTAAAAAAAACATATACTAGACATGTACGTTTTCACCCAAAATGCAATCCCATCATTGTTTCTCATTAAACAGAATATTTTATACTGTAAATCAAAATCATAGTTATATCACTTTATTTCTTCAATTTAGAGCCCACATAAAAATGAGGGAGGGAGAGATACAAAGAGAGAGAATATGAGAGAATGTTCCTCATGTAATGGGATTGAGTGTTATTAGCCATCACAGGTGGTTACACAGCATAGCTGTGGGGAGTTTATAGCTTGCTCATTAAAACACATTTGAATTTCTATGAACTAGTTTACTACTTTTCAAATGACTGCATGCTGATTTATAGATGAAGACATAAAAAGTTTTGGGTGAATGAACAGCAAAGGAACATAAAAGAGCAATGAGATCTTTAATCCGTTTTTTAAAATTTTGAAGGGTATAATTGTTGCTCTGCTCAATTATTTTTACATTTTTATTTTATTTTTCTATGAGTGCATGTTTGTGATGCATAGTGAATGCATTCAGGGATATATTTATATATATATATTACAATTTAATCCTATTTACTTTCCCTTCCCCTTCACAGTCTTCCCACTCCCTCCATCTCTAGACCCTCTTTCTATTTCCAGAAGCCATACCTCCCTGCTTTCCCTTAGATCAATATTCTCCATTTTGTATCCTCTCTCTGTAGTACATAAAAATTACAGCATTTACTTGCTTATTGAATAGACCAAATTTGTATGTAGAGGCATCAAATCTCCACCCACTGATTTCTCAACTATGTTCTGAGTTTTTGTGTGACAGTCTGCTTTTTTTGTGTCCTTTTAAACTTTTAACAATTTAAAACCTTCTACTCCTACTTTAGTCATTTTGTAAACTAGAGGACTCAAGTCTCTTAGCCACAGGAATTTAGACAATGGCTTTCTTATATAAACATTTTCAACTATTCTGACAACACTAAACCTAGGGTGAACTGTGCAAAAATAAAATATATTTTTCACATGTGTAAGGGTTGTTATGGTTAACAAATAAAATATTGTCATGGAAATTACTTTGTAAAGATGCAGTGTTTTTTTGACACGGATATTATTATTAATTTTAATAAATTTTCAGCCAATAGAAATGGTCAGTTTACATATTTTCTTGTTCTTGTCAGAAATAGGCAAATGTCTTTCTTGTGATTTATGCCTTCTATCATGAAGAATGTTGCTTGCTCAATACTAATTTGAGCATGATAGTTTTTCTCACAATCTACTAGTCATCACGTCCCGACCCATTTCCCTATCTCGTTATTTAAGTCACTCTCAAAGTTACTGACTTTCTAACTGAAAGGGGCATAAATGTCATCTACCCCAACCCAAATTTTGTCTGTGAGTTAAGAAAAGGATCTAAGTGATCTTTTCCTGGCCACAAAGACCTTCAGCATGGGCTCTTGGCCTAGGACACAGGCCTGGAAACTTAGTCCAGTGATTTTCCACTTGATGACCCTATTATTCAGTTTCTTATCCTGTTCTTTTATACTCAACAGTTTCATCTTTGGAAGTCTATAAAACCTAATTTTCCAGCTTTGCTGTGGTAAACTTCCAAAATATTCTTCACCTGTCCAATTTCTGTAACTGTCCAATATCCTGGGGAAAATACAAGAGCTAAAGGAGAAATATTTTCCATCAGTATTTCAAAGAAAGGCCCAAGAGGTTAATAGCATATGTACAGAAGGAAGGAAGCTGTTTAGTGAGCACATGCTAGAAGCCAGACATGCCGGCAGGTGTTTTCACATTGCCTCATCCGACCTTCACCATTCTCAGGGATGGGCAGTACTGCATCCATTTCAATAATAGTAAACAAAGACTTGGTTGTATATCATAGTTTCCAGAGCTCATGTTATTCTTAAACATTGGAAACAATAGTCAAATTCAATTTCACTTCATTCTAAAGCTTGTGTTATTTCAAAAGAAACCCCATGCACCCTGAAGCAGTCCTTTTGGTAATGAAACCATCCATAGTTTATTTATTGAATGACCTTTAGAAGAACTGGGGAAAATATAAAAGAAGGAAGGGACAGCATCTCTGCCATTGAGTAACTGATATCATACATGAAATCAAAACACACAGCATTCACAAGTGTATTAGGAGTTAGGAAGAAAGTTCAACACGGCTGAATATCAAGTTAGAGGAGATGCCCTAAAGTTAAACTCTGACAAATACTCAGAACTGAGATGAGATGAATGAGAAATCCCTATGTATCAATTCTGAGAACAATAAATAATGAAATATCTTCCTATATCTAAATCTATAAATATTTGATGGCATAAACATTTATATGATACAGGGTTATTCTGATGGGGCTGATGGTGCCTGCTTGAGAAACAATGGTGGCAGTAATATAAACATTATACTAATTAAAATTTTAAGATAAAAATATATTTCAGGTGAGAAATAATGGGACCTCAAAGCAAAAAGATGTAATAAATCATAAGTGTCACATGCCAAAGTGTCAGCACTTTGGCAGGTGGAAGCAGGAGGCCCGTTGAGCCTAGCCTTGGCAACTTTGCAACTTAGCAAAACACTGTCTCTTAAGTAAATGATGAAAAAAACAGGAGTAGCTCAGTATGCTAGGGTTTAATCCTAGGTATTGAAAAATAAAGAAAAAAATAAATAATTAAAAGCTAAAATATTTTCTATCTTTGGGACTAGAAGGATGTAATAAAGTTAACATAAAATACAAGTGAGATTGACAAAAAAAAATACTTATTTATTTGATACAGGGTCTCACTACACAGTTCAGACTCATAATGACCCTCCTGTCTCAACCTCCACAGAATTGAGATCACAGGTGTGCATCTCCACACCTGGTTTCGGGCAGGCACAGAATGTGGTACTGGGGATCAAACTTGGCTCCTTGCGCTTGCTAGGCAGGTGCTTAGATGCTGAGCTATCTCCCCAGCCCTACAATACTTCTAGCAGGCTGTGACAAGATGATTTTTCATCTCTGTACATAGTGTGTATAAAGTAAGCCGGTTCTGGAGCAATGATTTGGAAATATCTGGAATGCACTACTGGATCTCAACTTATACTGTTGAAATAAATAATTCCCACTATTATTGAGCTCAGAAAAACACTGAGTGAAAAACATTCCTTAGTAGGTTTAAGAATACTCACCCCCCACCCCAGGAAAGAAGTACAATGGAACAGAAAGAGCAAATAAATAGAAAACCTCATTGCAGCATGTGAGTAATACAGATTATGTTGATCTTCTGAGCCAAATAATGCAGAGAAGCTGTGGTCACTTACTGGGACATACATTTGTGGAAATTGTTGCCCAGTTCTTTATCCCCTTTTGTTGGGAATTGTTCCTTTACCTGCATGACTTCTCTGGAAGGCCATATTTCCACAAGATCTCACATCCTACCAAAGCTGATTAAGTAGAATTGTGCTGAAGTTCTATCATGAGAATCTTTGAACTGGGACTCAAATACAGACCTATCCTTTTTCTAATGCAAAGGCTGTGAAATGTGGCTGACAGTTTCCTGCGCAAGAGACAAGAGATGCAGAGAATGTTTGGGCTACATCCAAGACTTCAACAGCAGCTGTTACTGCATCTCAACTTAGAGTTACAGCTCACAAGGTTTGCAGTTCACCTTTACTTTCCATCCTGTGGGTCAGTGCTCTGCTCCACCAAGTTGGCTTGAGTTGGCACAGAGGAAAGTCTTGATTAATGATTCCTGTAAACCCTAACACATACTGTCAAGTTGGAACTCTTAGGTAAAAGATGAGAGGAGTGAGGTGGGTTCAGAAAAGAAAGAAATATTTTTATGGCTTAAGTATTTCATATATAGTCATCAGTGGCTTTTTCATTGATAAGAACTGAGGCTAAAGATATTAAATGGCTTTCAAAAATCTCTACAGTTATAAGGAACTGCCTGGCAAACCCACGGTCCTAGGTTTGATCCCCTGCACTGCAAAATTAGATAAATAAATAAATAATTTCTACAGTTATTAAGAATCTGAGTATCCTGCTCTTCTGGAAATAGTATCGTCATTACTGACTTTTCATTAATAAGTTGGAGTTCCTTACTTTTCTTTCTTTCTTTCTTTCTTTCTTTCTTTCTTTCTTTCTTTCT